AGCCTGTGTTCTGTTGGGCACAAATTTGCTTATCCAGTCTAAACAGTTGATGGAGAAATATGCTACTCGATGTGACCATCTAGCGGCCAAAGTAGGAAATAACTTGGTTCTTCTGAATTTGATTCAGCAAGTATGGAAAGCTCAAGAACACTCTATTTATATGCTTTCTGCTCACTCTGCACCAACCCGAAGCAAGTTTACTCTCAAGTGTACAAAAATACTTTATGCATTACCATTTACCAAGTTCATTCACTTTCTAAGTGAAGTGTGAACACACACAGACACCATTTTGTTTTTTTACCTGATAGGTGAGTTTTTGTGGGTCAAATGGGTAATTGTGAAAATAAGCTGGACTTCATTGTAAAACTGTGGCTTCAAACATACTCCTTTATTATTGAATGTATTGAATCATTTCATAACTTTCTGTTTATAATTTTTATATTACTGCCTAGCAAGTGTGCTGTGTGTATATTATAAGTTCGTTGGTAAATGCTGTAAATGAATTCCTAACCGAGCTGTATCCCAAAGAATTCTTTGACTCGGGCTGATGTGGAGGATTAACATTTGAATGCCTCTTTTGTATCTTGGGTTTGTATATTTTTTGTGTATGGGGTGTGTGTTCTTGTGTGTGAATATGGATGCACACCTATCAGAGGACAACCTCAGGTCTGGTTTACCATTTCCTCCACCGAGCTAGCTGGCTATAAGCTTCCAGGGATTCTCTTAATCTTCACTTCCCCCATCCCATCGCACTGTAGAAGGACTGGGATTACAGATCGAATTGCTGCACCTACTTTTATGTGGGCTGTAGGGATCAGAACTCAGGTCCTGACACTTGTGCAGTTAGAACTTTACCTAGCCCTTAGCTTTGTCTTCTTTCTATCCACACTGGTATCAACTAATAAACTCTTCATATTCATCTTTTCAAAATCCACTTCACATCCCGGTATTCCCCAGGTACAGTAAGCCTCGCTTCCCTTGTCTTACCAGGCTCAACCGTTTAGCACTTCCCTCACTCCTGCAATTGTTTGCACAGCTGTCTCCTCTGCACAAGAGTCTGTCATCAGCATTTATCATAGCTGTCAGCTTTCAGCAGCAGGCAGAACTAGGCATGGTGTGAGCAGCACCACCGGGGAGTTGACTTGATAGAGCACCATTTTCGGAGTCTAAAGGTACACAGATCTTCCAGCGGCCACACTGCACTTTTTCCAATTGCCTAGTTTTTTCCAATTACCTAGTTCTCAATTCTCTGTTCCCTATGTATTCTAACCCTGGTGACCTTCCAGCCAATGAGGTGTGGCCAATGAGGAAGAAGGTTGTCTCCAGGATTATAATGCTGGATAATTTAAAATGTAGATGGAAATACAAAAGAATGAATATCGCTACAAGTTATTGTTGAAGGCCAGTCAGACAACTCAGAAGGTAAAAACACTTGCTATCAAGCCTAGTTTACTGGAGCTCAACACACCAATTCATACATAGGCATCAGGTGGTAAGTGGGAATTTTCCCCTAAAAGTTCACTCGAGGGACATACCTAAAACCAGTCCATGGACAGACAGCAATTTGTGTAGGCCAGCATGAAGTAATGGGGAACTCAGCTGAATTGAAGCACTAAGACTGGAGTTCTTGCCTGTCTGTCCCTTGGTGGATGGTCCAATGGCAGGTCCAATGGTCCTCACAGTGCCCTCCTTACAGGGTCTTGGTGAGGGTGCTGCACTCTTCATTGGTCTGGTTTACAAATCTTCGGAGGTTGTCTGATGTTTAATAAATCCACATGCTCATGTTCTCAGCCTTTGGTAAGTTTAAAGATGGCACTGTTGCACTGTCTGGGATGTTACTGTCAGTCTGTTTCTTGTGGGTGGGGCTGGACAGGCAGGTGGTACCTTAACATACAGTAGGTGCAGTCATCCTGCTTCCACTTGTACAAAAATGGAGTCAAAAGCTGTCTTGTAAAATGGACAGCAGGGGGCTTTCATAATAATTTTGTAATTTTCATAGTAACAGATTTCCTTAAAGGGATTAACCATCCCAGTTTACACACACACACACACACACACACACACACACACACACACACACACACACACGGTTGCTCTTTGGTTGTATCCCCTCCCCACCTCTTGACCTTTCCTACTCATACTGGACCCCATCCTCCCCCTCAAAACAGTCCCCTTTCCTGATAGTACATGTGAGAGAAAACACATGCTATTAAGGAGGGAATCATAGTTTTGAGGTCAGAATTGTGTTCTCAAAATAGTCGCCAGTACCAACAGTACTCGTTTACTCTTCTGAGCCACTGATTTCTCTTTTCAAAAGAATGACACACTGTAGTGTGACTGTCAAAAGCCTCATGCATTCTTGCTATCAGTCACTTCTTTTGCATTTCTTATTCTTAATGCATGTGTTGACCAGATGAGTCCATAAAATGTCTTGGAACTAGAGACAAGACAGCCCATCCCCCACCCATCCCCATCCTCTTGAGGGATGCTCTAGGAATTTAATAGAACACAGCATGGAATCTGTGTGAGAGAGAATGTGTTTAGGTATGTATGCATGTATGTGTAGATCAGAAGTCAGCATCCACTGTCAACTCTGCTGTCTACTCTGCTGTGTTTTATGAGGTTGGGGGAGGGAGGTGTCTCTTACTGGCCTGAAGTTCATTGAGTAGGCTATGAAGGGTAGCTTGCAAGTTTCAGGAATCTATGCCTTCCTCCATGTACCACCACACCTAGCTTCTTTTTATGTAGGTCCTGGGAATCAAAAATCATGTTTGCATGGGTAACACTCTACTAAACGATCCATCTTCCCAGTCTACAGTAAATAAATTTTCCTTAGAACCCACAGGAGTGGTGGAAGGACTGCAAATATGTCCCCAGGGGGCTGTGGTTTAGATCATTTCATGTGGGTCACCCTGAAAGACCAGTCAGACTACAGACACATTTATCCATATGTTCTGTCCAGGAGGATCTAAGTAAGGCAGGGCTTGCTCTGGTCCCTCCCACCGTGAGTCAGCATTAACCTGGAATATTACTGAACACTTGAAGCTTACTGTGCTTGCTGAGACATTGCATGCTAAAACAAACAACTGTATGGACATTAGAAAATCTTTTACCTAAATAGGCTAAAAAGGAAACCCACCAACCTCTAGTAGCGCTGCTTATCACCAAGGTGACGATTTCACATTGTAGTTCAGTTTTTTGTTTTTTTTTTTTTTTTTTTCTGTCACCCTGGCAGTACTGCTGTGCTCTGCCCTGTGTCCTCTCCCTCTCCTGGGCTTGAGTTATTCCCTGCCTTTTCATTCATTGCTCTTCACTAATTTACTTGCTGAATGTTTTCTCAGACTATTGAAGTTCTGCAAGGCATTGTGGATCTATGGGACTCCTTGCCTACTGTAGCATTGTGATTGACATATAGATAGGCAGTGTGTTGACTTATCTCTAAAAACTCGTTTATTCATCTCTAAGATATGTTAAGACTTATTCGATGGTGAAATTCTTTGTGCTAAATTTTCTTGCCTGTGGAGAATGAAATAATATACAATGTAAATTAATGGCAAATTAAAGGTCAAAATTTAGTATTTGAAGTTAATTATAAAATTAAGTGCCATTACATTTAATAATATTTGTAAACTCCATGGAGTCAACTGTATTTCAACATCAACTTATGTATTAACTAGGTTTCTAGATGTCCTTCATGGAAAATAATTAAAGGGTTTAACATTTGTGGTGTAAAAATTTTAATATCCTAAAATTGGATTTGTGCCACAGCACGTTGAATTTATGCTCAGAATTCTTTACTATGATTTGAATTGAGGTATACCATTTGCTGTTGGTCACTGCTCCCCAGGCTTATTCCTCATGTTGTATTCCAGAACCTGGGCTTCTTTTGGTCTGTATGTAGTAAACACTGAATTATTTATTAATTCTTACTAACATCACATGTGTCACACCGAGAACAATGCTGCCCCTCTACCCTTACAAACACAAAGCAACAGTTCAAATGAATTAACTGTGTTGTCTGATTCCTAAGCCAGGTTTGTTGTTGTTGTTTTTTTGTTTTTTTTTTTTTCCTTTTCGTTCTTTTTACGAGACAGGGTTTTTCTGTGTAGCTTTGAAACCTGACCTGGAACTGGCCCTATAGACCAGGCTGGCCTCAAACTCACAGAGATCAGCCCGTCTCTGCCTCCTGAGTACCGGGATTAAAGGTGTGCCCCACCACCACCCAGTTTCATTTCACACTTTTCTAACAGAGTCACAAAAAGTTGTAAAGTGAACAGCCCTTCCGTTTTATGAAAACAAAATCCAGGGCCTAGAGAGATTGTCTTAATCTCTGGAAGCCATGCAGTAGGGTAGTAAGAGGCCTGGGACTCCCCAAAAATTTTAACAGGCCCCACATACCTCCTCGCTGCTTTTTGGAAGACCAGTCCTGTTTTCCTTCCCACCGAGAGCTGCCTTCTTCAACCTAGGGCTAGGGAGTCACCCTGCACAGCGTGTTACCAGGAGAGCTCTTCTCCAGGTCTGCCTAAAGGCTGCCTAGTTTATTTCTGTGTTACTGTGACAAAACACTTGGCAAAACATTTTAAAAGGAAGAAGGGCCTATTTTGGCTTGTGGTTTTAGACGGTTTCCCAACATCATGGTGTGGAAAGTGTGGCGAAAAAGGGCAGCTCCTGTCCCGGCAGGCCCTCATGTCACGTGTCATGCAAGCCCTGAAAAGGAGCAGAACTTTGTGCAGAAGCTGCATCATTTGGTGCCAGGCTGACTTCAGGGCTTTGATCCTTGCCCCACAACCCAGATCATTCTTAGTCTACAGTTTCTATTATAGGTAAATACAATTTCAGTTCATTTTCCCAGGGAGCCGGTTTGTTACCATTCTGGATCTCTTGCTGTTTCTCAAGCATCCTATTGGCTCCAGATTCTCTGTATCGCGTTCCTGGAGGGACATGCGGTTTTCATGTAATTTCTTCCTGCTCCAAGCTTTACCTTTTTTCTCTTCTTGCAGGGTTTGTTTCTATTACCACCCTCACTGTGCTGGCCTATGAACGTTATATCCGTGTGGTGCATTCCAGAGTGATCAATTTTTCCTGGGCCTGGAGGGCCATTACCTATATCTGGCTCTATTCCTTGGCATGGGCAGGAGCACCTCTTCTGGGCTGGAACAGATACATCCTAGACATACATGGACTGGGCTGTACAGTGGACTGGAAATCCAAGGATGCCAATGACTCCTCCTTTGTGCTCTTCTTGTTTCTTGGCTGTTTTGTGGTGCCCCTGGGCATCATAACCCACTGCTACGGTCATATTCTGTATTCTGTTCGAATGGTGAGTTGAAGGCTGCAGATAACCCTCTCTGAGCCATGCCCATACCCAACATTTGGTGTGAAAAGAATCAAACTCTTCCTATATAATCAATTAATTTCCTTGAGTTCAAAGACTCTACAGGACTTAACATTTGGTAGAACTTTGCACTGTGACTCATTCCCCAAGCACATCACTGAGGGATGACCTTTGTCTCTGTCCGCCACCCTCTAAGACCAAAAGAAACAAGCAAAAGGCAGCTAGACAATACCAACCCCAAACCTCACATTGTTAAGAATTCTGAAGGAGGATAGTTACAATTTCCATAATTATACTAATTTCAAGATCACATGAACCCACTTGCCAGAGGCTGGTGGAGTCATAAAGGACTGAACACACACACCAAGCAGGTTTCATATGGGACAGTCACATGACACCATTAATTTCAGCTGTGTGCCATTTCCTAGTCACTGTGTATCTGTGAGGGTTTTATATTTATGACTGATAAGTGGCTATTTGGGGAGTAAGTTACAAGCAGAGTAGATACATTGGAAGGACGGAAGACAAGAGAAGCGACTGAGAATGAGATTTGTCTTGACATTAGCCTGTTATTATCTTAGCAGAGCACTCCAGGCAAATAATTGGCCGGCATCTCAAGCTGCAGGCTTCTCTGTGTAGTATGTCTGGCATGCTATGAATCTGTTATCTGGATGGAGAATTTATGAATCAGTGCTCTGGACAAAATGGTTTCATCAGTCATGAAGAGAATGTTTCCATTTGACCATAAGCTTTTCAGGCTGTGTTTTAGGAACTTGAAGATCTAGACAAAATAATATATTTTATCCTTAGAAACGCATTTAAAAGCCATTAAAGGGAGCTTTAAGTTGGTAAAGCCATTGCTGTTGTCATGTGAGGACCTGATTTTGAATCCCCAGAATCTATGTACAGCCAGGTATAGTGCAGCTATATGTGTCTTAACACCAGCAATCCTATAGCAAGATGAGAGGCAGAGGCAGGAGAATCTCTAGAAACTCGCAGGCTAGAGAGACCCTGTCTCAGCTCAGACAAAGTGGAAGGTGGGGACCTACACTGGAGGTTGTCATCTGAGCTCCACGCATGTGCTGGGGATGCGTGTGCCCACGCCGCTCCTTCTACATCTCCCCCTCACCTCTCACACACAGCAGAAAATGCCCTTAGCTCAACCTCCGTAGGTTTTAGTTGAGGGAACTGAAGCCCAGAGAGATAAAGGCTAGGCCCAGCTTCAGCTCAGAAGTCAGTCAGTCTCCTGTGGCTCTGTGCATGTCTCTTTCCATGAAGTCAGGACAAATAATGGTGGCTGCTGATCTGTTTAAAAAGAAAAGGGATTAATTTCAGTCCACATCCTTTCTTCACTTCCTGCAGCTACGCTGTGTTGAAGATCTTCAGACAATTCAAGTGATCAAGATTTTAAGATATGAAAAGAAAGTGGCCAAAATGTGCTTTTCGATGGTCTTTGTCTTTCTCACCTGCTGGATGCCTTATATTGTGACCCGCTTCTTGGTGGTTAATGGCTATGGACACCTGGTCACTCCAACAGTGTCTATTGTTTCTTATCTCTTTGCTAAATCGAGCACTGTGTACAATCCAGTTATCTATATCTTCATGATCAGAAAGGTAAGCTCTGGAATTAATTTGTTTTCACCCGGAGAACAAACAGAAATAGCTTGTATGTGGTGTGACAGCGTAGAACATTATCAAGGATGAAACAAAACAAACAAATCTAAAGAAACAAAGTCCCAAGTTAGAAGTTCTGGATAAGTGTACTAGGGAGATGGCTCAGAGGTAAGGGTGCCTGCCCTCCTCTTTTGAGTTCCAGCACCCATGGCAGGTGGTTCACAACTACCAGTAACTTTGACTCCAGGGGGATCCAACGCCCTCTTCTGACCTCTGCAGGTATCAACACATGTGTTCATGTACAAGTACATGTGTGTGTGCACACACTCTCTTTCCCTCTCTCTCTCTCTCTCTCTCACACACACACACACACAGAGGAGGGAGAAATTAAAATCTCAACTAGATGTTTTGAATTTTACTCCAGATTAAGGACCAGGTATTCACTTAATAATGGAGTTTATTGCTCCATTTTTCTCCTCAGTTTCGTAGGTCCCTTCTCCAGCTCCTATGCTTCCGACTACTCAGATGCCAGCGGCCTGCTAAAAGCCTGCCAGCAGCTGAGAGTGAGATGCAGATCAGGCCCATCGTGATGTCACAGAAAGATGGGGACAGGCCAAAGAAAAAAGTGACCTTTAACTCCTCTTCCATCATTTTTATCATCACCAGTGATGAGTCTCTGTCTGTTGATGACAGTGGCAGAACCAATGCATCCAAGGCCAATGTAATCCAAGTTCGTCCTTTGTAAGAACAGGAGACGGAATCTTGTGCCATTGCCTCACACCATCTACTACAAGGCCTGCCCTGGAGAACACACATGGTGTAGTAACAACAGAACCTCGTGGCCTAGCAGGGAATCTGAACTGGCCATATGTTGTCTGTTTTCAAGAAGAGACTGAGCAAGACAAATTATTTTCATTCAACGGGTGCTTTATAACATGTGAAACTCCTGGTGGCACAAGTTGAGCATCTGGCACCATTGTCTACTATGCCAGGATTTAATGTTTGAATACCCGACCACATTTGCCAAAGCACATAATACATTTTGTTTCCCAAATATAGTTCACTGTATAAATAACTGTCTCATACACACGTGTGCAATGGCCTGGACATATGGACTATGTTATGGTGTCAGGTCCTATTCTGTGTCATGCTGTGTGTTTGACCAATTCGGTTTATTAAGGAGGTAATAAATCAATCTCTACTTTTATCTGGAAATCAAAGGCTGTTGTCGTGTGTGTAGTGTGACTGCCAGGGCAGTCAGATTAGATTCCAGAAGGTACAGTATGAAGCATTGTAAAAAAGCAAAGAGGCTTCGTGCTTGTCACGTGGAAGGTTGATAATACCACAGTGGTGAGCGTACAACAATCTGTTGAAGACAGATTGGTATCTCCATCTATTTATTCCAGAAATTAGTCTGACAAATTCTCTTTTCCTTTTAATAATGCCCCACTTATCAAAATTCCTGCACCTGTAGAGGAGTTCCCAGTAAACAAAGTTACACACAGAGAAGGATGAAAATAAATGTCTTAGTGTATTCACCATGCATTATTATTTAAATTTTAGTACATTTATTTGTTCATTGTATATGTTTGTGCATGTGCATGTACATGCTCATGTTATATTGTGCATATGGAAATCAAGAGGACAACATGCAGCAAACAGTTCTCTCCTTCCACTATGTGAGTCCCAGGGGTGGAACTCAGTTGTTAGGTTTGTCAGCGAGCACCTTTTCTCACTGAGCCACCTCACCAGCTCCATACAATATATTTTTAAATTTTCATTGCTTATCAGTAGGATCCTGGATAGTGAATGGGCCACATGAGTGAAAAGGATATCTCCCCATATGTCACTGTTTATCGCTGGAGGAGAACAAAATATACTGCCTCCCTGATATGCTCCATCCTGCAGGGTCACCTTGAGTGGAAATTCACTGAGAAGAAATGATAGAAGAAAAGCTTCCTCCAGTTTACCAAGGTGACCTAAGATTGCTGCTCCATGGATTCTAACCCCTTTACTTTGTCTCATAATGTCTCCATAACTTTGCTTCTTGTCGAAGACGATGGAAAATGGCTTTCTGTGTAAACTTACTTTCTTTTTTAAGTATTTCTAAAAATATACTAGATTTTTATTTACACTGTTTCCTCACAACATTGTGTACCACAGTCCCCCTCCCTTTTAAATACTTTTTAAACTTAAAATAAAATTACATCATTTTCTCCCTTCCCTTTCTTCACTTCAATCCCTCCGTGCACCCCTCGCTACTTCTAGAAATTACGGCTTCTAAGGATTTTTAATTATGGAGGTGTAGTCTACATGTGGTTATGTGCACAGGGGTGCAGGAGCCTAAGGAAGCCAGAGGCATTGGATCTCCTGGAGCTCGAATTATGGGCAGCTGCCTGACATGGGTCCTGGGAACAGAACTAGGAGCCTCTGCAAAAGCAGTCCATGCACTGGACAGCTGAGTCATCTCTCCAGCTCCTAAGCTAGCTCATTGTCAGAGTGTCTCCCATGTGCATATGAAATATACATGCTTTTAAACTTCAGTTGGTTTCCTTTTGTCAGTCTGTCTATTATAGGAACCGCAGACAACGAACTAAAGATAAATAAAAGCAGCAATTACACTGTTGTTTATTTTTGCAACGTTAGGGAATCTAACCCAGGACTCTGGTCACACTAGGTATGCACTCTACCACTGAGCTACTGAGCTACATCCTTTTCCCAGAAAAAATGTTTATTCTTTCCCTACAAACCAAACTTAGATTATTAGGACTCAAGATTGTCTTTGACAATATGGAAAATGCCAAATTGTTTCATTTTTATTACCTCCTTCTTAACTTCCTACATAACTAGTATCATAGCTTTCAAAATTAACAATGTTTGAAAAGAATTTCTAACCAGTCAGCCTACTAAAGAACCAAAGAAAGAATCTCCCCACTGCATTTTGAAGATAAAGTTAACTGTCACTGCGTGACATTTTCAAGGCATCACTTCTCAGGCTGGCCTCGAACTCGTAACCCTCCTGCCTCTACCTCCTTCAGCAAATCCTACCAGCATGTGCCACCACAACCAGTGCAAGGCATCACTTCTATGTGTCTGAAATGGAATGAACTGTGTCTCCATTCTTCTGCAAGACAGCCTTCCCATCTCCTTTTCACTCTTTTATGTACTTCATTTCCTAAACAACCCTTTCTTCTTCACTTAGGATGACATGAATAACCCTTTTATTATCTTCAAAAGGTAATACTTTGGTATCTGGAGACTGGGAGATAAAACAGATTCATCCTGGAACTCTTTGGAACACCTGCATCTCATTCACACCCTGGGTTTTAGCAAGTGCTCTGAACTTGTGGTTAGACAAACTCCAGCTACTGCTTACAAAGAGGAAGTGCACACTGGGCAAACTGTGGTTTTCTGTCCTGAATGTTGTTGCTCCTATAATGCCTTACACAGAAAACAAAACAAAACCAATCTGTTTTTGAGAAGTGAAAAAGACCTTGATTATTGCATTTTTTAAATTAAAATTGACCCAGCCCAAGAATGCAAAGTGATGGAAACACTGCAAAAACAGTAACAACGTCCCCCCTGGTCCAGCTGACAAATACACAGATATTCTACATGGAACTTAATTATATGCTGACAATTATTTTCCAGTTGTGAATTAAATGTGACAGTGGAACATGCTTTTGGTCCTTGATTTTGGAGAGAAGTCAAACATTTGCCACCAGAACCTTAGCTTTCTGGTTGATGAAAGGGGATGTTCCTCCTAGTGACTCCATGGAACTTGCCAGAAGACATCTGTGCACCTATTCCAGTAGCCAGTGGTTCCAGTCCATGCCCGCCTTCTCAAGAATCCCAGCGGTCTTGGAGACAGGTGGTGCACAAGCAGGTAGGCACTTCCAATGGCTACCAGGGATCCCAGGGCAAAGAGCCCTTTATTTATCACCTGCAAGGATGGAAAAAAAAATCAAAACCATTCATCCAGAGGTTGAATCTTAAGATAAACTTCATTCCTACATCACAGGCAAGTGTGCAGTTCTCTGCCTACATCACAGACAAGTGCACAGGTGTCCTCTTACATCACAGACAAATGTGCAGTTCTCTGTTGCCTGTAACTTGAGGCACAACTTGACTGTTTGGCCTCTGTTCTGTCTTTTCTTCAGTGCACTCTGCCTGATTGGCTCTTCTCCTTTGCATTTTCATATCTTTGAGGTAAGGGACACTGTTTTGTTTGGTGTATATGTATGTGTGTTGTGTGTACACATACAGGGGGTGCACTTGCTGGTACGTGCACATGTAGAGGCTAGTGATCAATGTCAGGTGGCTTCTCCTTTCTCCAATTTATTGTTTGGAGACAGAGGAGTCTCTCATTGAATTTGACACTGTTTTGGCTAGCAAACCCCTGGAATCTATCCCCCACAACAACAACACACACTCTAGAACATGGTTACAGATGTGTACTGTGTCCAGCTTTTAGGTAGGTGCTGGAGGGTCTCATGATCGGCTCTTGTGACTATGCAGGAAGAACTTTACCCACAGAGCAATCTTGCCAGCCCCTATTTTATTCATCCTGAAACAGGTAGGTCTTGATTGTTTCCAACCTGTTCTCTACATAGCAAAGTGACTGATCTAAGATCCTAGCCTGGGTGTTTAACTCTTCTTAGGTCTCCCAGATTTCCTGTTTCAGCAGGATGCTAAAGGCTCTACTTACCTCTCCACCTTCTATCTGGCCAGTCTTACACCTGGGCCTCCTGGCTAGGGTGTCTTCAGCCTTCATTTCCTAGCCTACACCCATATTCTCCTTGCAGTCATCCAGAAAGCATTATCCACCATATTTGACCACCTCTTCTATTAGTTCTCAGCCATGTGTATGGTAGGCACTACATCTTGTCCACCGAAGTATCTAGCTCAGTATATATTCATCCAATAAAAGTATTGACAAATGAAGTTATAAAATCCCCAATGCAGTCAGGAATCTGAATTGCAATTCATGGCACTTCTGGGTCAGCTTTTCAAAATAAATGCATCACCACATTCCACTTGATGTTTTTTTTTTTTTAAGTGACATAGTTCTGTCTAATTTTACAAGTTAACCCACAAGGGTACCACGTAATGCAAAACCCAAGAGTGGATCATAATGCTAATACAAGATAAACAGCTGAGAAATATCAGCCTCATTTTCCTCTTAATTTTCTCTTTGGTTTTTTTTTTTTGTTTGTTTGTTTTTTTTTTTTTTTTTTTTTTTTCCATGCAGAGTGTGGGCCCTGCACTCTGTAGACTCAGAACAGGTTTTATTTGGAAGATAAGCATAATACCTCTGTCCTGTCATTCTGTATTTTCCTGAAATTAACATGACCATGAGATTATATGACACTTCAATACATTACACTTTTCAATAGTCAAGTTCTTCCAACCTTTTTTTGCCAATTCCAGCGCAGTACTGCTTCATGGTATCTTATTCTGGTGAAGGCGACCTGCAGGGGGATTTAAGAAGCATCTGGTGTATTCTTTAATAGCTAAACAGAGAGAAAGTGAAGGAAAGTCTTTAACACAGTCCTTACCATGGTATAGAGAGGGATAAAGGTAGATGGCATAATAGCATGAAGAAATTTATCTAGGAGCCTTTGAAACAGGAACCACCTAGAGTTGACATGTGCTCGCATCTGCAATGACAGGAGTCTTAAAAAGAACACCTTATACGAAGCACCTCTTTTTCCTTAAAACAGAAAAAAACCTCTTTTTCCTTCATTCACAGTTGTCACAACAATGAATGATAACAAAAGAATCAAATAAAATCCCATATCCATAATAGTGATTCCCAAGTGCGCTTACAAAATTTCAGGAGTTCAAAACATTGTCTTGAAAACATACAAAATCTAGTCTGGTTTTTCTCTGAAGACAATTTCAATATGAAATATTCTGTTTCAGCAAGAGATTTATTGAACCAGAATTCTGAATGACCTGTAAGCCCAAAAATTTGATCAATTTCTGTTGCCTCCTATTTAGTTGGCAACACTGTTTATGGCAACAAGGATTACTTATAGCTGCCTGTGTCCTGGTTTATATTACTTCTTAGGACAAATGTTGTGATATAGTCAAACTGGCTTTAACTGTGTGTGTGCATGTGTGTATATATGTGTTGAATGTGTGCACATGTGTATGTGTGTGCCTACATGTGTTGAATCTGTGTGGTATATGTGCACAGGTATGTACATGCATGCAGAGACTAGGAAAAACTCCTGATAGGTTACTGTCCACCTTATTCCATCCAGGCAGAGTTTCTCATTGAATTTGAAGCTATTCTGACAGCATTCGAGACCCTCACTACCCTGAAGCGCCAAGTGCATGGCCACACCCAGTTATTTTACATGTAATCTGGGGATTAGAACTCAAATCCTCCTGCTTGAGTAGCAAGGCTTCTCAGCCAGAGTCATCTCCCAGCCCATGGCCTACTTTTAGAGTCAGACAATATATATCAATAAAGTCTCCCAGTATCTTCTAGAACTCCATTATATATGGTACAGTTATGATCAAATTGAAGCCAACATTATCTCTTTCTGTCCTCAAGAGAAATGAGAATGTTCAGTTTTTCTTTTATTGTGTAAATTTTTCCATTCCACTATTTTAAACAATCATTTGTCACAAGATTTTTCATGTGACTCTCTTAAAATGGAATGAACATGTAAATCTTAATAGTACTCATCTTTGGCATTATATACTGTTTTTATTGCATGGTATTCTAAATACTCAGGATATTCTGTTAAGACAAAGTAATTCAGGCCCGGTATGATGACACATGCCTTGTACTTGGGAGGCAGAGACAGGCAGATCTCTGAGTTCAAGGCCATTCTGGTCTACAGAGTGAGTACTAGGATAGCCAGGGCTGTTGCACAGAGAAGCCTTATCTCAAAGAAAGAAAGGAAGGAAGGAAAGAAGAAGGGAGGAAGAGAAAGTCATTTGATATTTCTAGGATTTCACAATTATTTAATAAATCTCAAATTGATATTTCAAGAGATTGAAATATGGCTACCTCCTAAATATCTGAAATTTGTACCTGTGAAAGTTTAAGTATTTTGTCACCTCTGATATCTTTAAAATGCTCTTGTAATCAGAAATATTGAGTAGGAGTATTTGTCATTGGCTACATAGTAACAATTTACCTGTTTAAGGAATGCTCTCTCTCTCTCTCTCTCTCTCTCTCTCTCTCTCTCTCTCTCTCTCTGTGTGTGTGTGTGTGTGTGAAAATGTGCAGGTCTACTGCACATGTACATGTGTGTTTTTGTCCACACTTATTCTTAGGCAGCATGTATGAAACTCCTTTCCTGAAGCAAAGGAAAGTAAAAAGACTTCTAGTCCATTGGCGGACAGTGTCACAGAATGGAGTCAAACTTTTCTCACCTCTATGTAATTGTACATAGACAGGTCTGAAATTGCATGGTCATCCGGAACCCTAAATCTTGAGAATTCAGGAAGGCACATACCTAGAAACCAAAATTAAATAAAACACGTATGTATGTGCTTAAAAATAATATACAGAAAGAATGCTGAAGAGATGGCTCAGTGGTTAAGAGCATTGGCTGCTCTTGCAGAGGACCCAAGCTCAGTTCCTAGCACCAACCTTGGGTGGCTTCCAAGCATGTGCAACTCGGGCACAGAAGATCTTCTTCTGACCTCTGAGGGCCCCTGTGCACATTTGCTATACACTCACACACGGACACACAGATACATAAACAAATCCTTCAAAAAAGTAAAGTAAAATCTTTTTTTAAAAATGCTCGTCTCTGCCTCAGTCAAACTAAGCAGTATTTCCTCTAGCAACATTTTAATCTTGTAGGACTGTTGACAAACACAGCAATCTACAGTTATCGAGCAATGTCCATTGGTTATTTCCTGTTGGGATCAAATAAAGTTTATAATAAAACTAATATTTGGATATTGGTTGTTAAAAACCGTCATTTTCCTTATTCCGCAAATGGAAAATAATTTTGTGATGGTTAATCTATACCGAGAATTTATTGGATTTAGAATTACCAGGGAAATATAGCTGTGGATGTGTGACTATAGGGATGATGCCAGAGTGGTGGAATTGAAGAGGAAGGACACACCCTTGATGTGGCAGCATTATCCAATGGGCTGGTATCCCAGAATGAATAAAAAGAGGAAATGGACCAAGCAGCAGCAATATTCTTTGCTTCATAACTGCCACCATGCCTTCCCGGTGCCATGAACCATCATGCCCTTGAACTATAAACAAAAACAAACCTTTTCCTCTTCAAGTTGCTTCTCTAGCTACAGCAGCAAGTAACTGTACATGTTCATATGACAACTTTACACGATGCTCAGCCCTTCCTTTTTACTTTGTGTGCATGTCCTTTTTACACACACACATACTCTCTCTCTCTCTCTCTCTCTCTCTCTCTCTCTCTGTGTGTGTGTGTGTGTGTGTGTGTGTGTGTGTGTGTTCGTGCACATGTGTGTGTTTCTTTGGGGCTTAGGTGTTTCTGAGGATGTGCTGTGAAGTCTGTAGGCAGAGGTGGACCACCATGGCTGCAAGGGAGAGAAAGGTGCACCATGCTTTTCTGTGAGTGGATCACTGCTTATGGAAAGTGGTAGGACCTTGCAGGCATGAGGCCTACCAAGAGGTCCTTGAGTCACTGGAGGTTCACTGTGGATCCTAGGTCTCTGTGTCTTTCTATGTCACTTCCAGACCAAGAAGTAAGTGGTGTTTTCTCTACTGCTGAGTCCCCACCATGATGTTTCCCCTCCACAGACCTAGAGCAAGGGGCCAACTCATCACAGACAAGAACTTCAGAAACTTGGAGCTACTGTTGTAGAATATTATTTTAAGTAGACAAAGAAATGTTACATTTGTTCATGCTGCATAACATTATTTTAACTGTGTAAAGGTGTGTTACTTTTGTTTATGCTACAGAATATTACTTTAACCTGTAAAGGTGTGTTACTTTTGTTTTTGCGGCATTTGTTTAACAACCTAAGGATGTGTTACATTTGTTCCACTTTGCCTGCCTAGGGCACCTGATTGGTCTAAGAGCTGAATGGCCAATAGCTACACAGAGAGAGGATAGGCATGCCTGGCCTGAAGAGAAAATAAATAGGAGGAGAAATCTAGGCTCAGGAGAAAAGAAGGAAGAACGAGAAAAGAAGGAAAAGAGATTGAGGGAGATGCCCAGGACAAGAAGTCAGGCAGACACCATCCAGTCAGACATGGAGTAGCAGTGAAGGTAAGCTATGCAGAAGTAAGAAAGGTAGTAAGTCCTGAGCAAAGAAGAGATGAAAAGAAACAGGTTAATTTAAGTTAAAAGAGCGAGCCAGAAATGAACCCAAGCTAGGCCTGGCATTCAACACTAATGATAAGTCTCTAAAAAGTCTGTCATGATTTGGGAACTGGTACATGCCACAGTAACCCCTTTCTAAGTGATTATCCCAGGTATTGTTACAGTAATGGGAAGATTTCTAGCACTTCCCTCCAACCTAGGTTTCCCTCTCTAGGTGTTCACTCCTTGGGATGGGCAAAGACTATGGCAGAGATGTTATTAGAGTGCCAGGATTGTAAATCGGCCCACAACTGATCATCTGGGCTCGTCTATGTGGCCCTGAGAAAGTAGACTTACTAAAATCGTTATTAAATTTGTCCATTAGCTCATCAAATACCAAGCAGTCTTCAAAGCCCTGAAACAAGAAAAATGGAAAAAAATAAGGCATAAATAATGAAATATTTTAGAGTAATTATAAGATAACTAGTATTGATGGGTATAGTGCACAGACTGGGGATCATCAGTAGATAAAAATTCTCATCTGATGCCTGATCATGATACAAAGACCAGCAGCTGGACCCTCATACTGTCCTTGCCTCATTGTGAGCCATAATGATTAAAAATTAACAAAAAATAAATACATCTGTGATTTTGGTGGATCCCAGTGCTTAAGACTGAATTACACGTCTCTACCATGAGCTAGTTGTAAACTCTTCAGGTCTTCAAGATTTACATTTAGAATGATTTATTGAGCTGAGCATATAGCTCAATGGTCAAGGACTCTTGCTGCCATGCATGACGCCTTAGGTTCAATCCCCATTACTGCTAAAAAATATTAATGATAGGATCAAATTAATTTACCCCCTGTAATTCAAATTTAAAACTAATTTTGAACACAAAGAACTTGAAAAATTAGTAAGTTCATACTAAATACAATAAAGAATAAGAACCCTGAGTAGTATATTTCTGTTTTCTACAGATTCAAACTATGATTTCAGAGACAATGTAAAAATACATAATATATACTTTTTTGTATCAATTATAGTGATTACATTTGAAGTAGTAAATGCACTTTGCAATGAATGTCTGCAAATTCTTTATGGTAGAGGGACTTGGACATAAGAGAAGACATATAAGGCCAAGACAACAGTTATAAATTCTTACTTAAAATAATTTGTTTTTCTTTGCAGTATTGGGATAGACACTAGTAAAACTGTAGTGTTAAAGGTGAAAGGTATCAGGGAAGTTATGTAAAATGAATTGTGTAGTAAATCCCTGAGGCAAGATTTGAACTACTCCTAGAACTTGGGCATTATTTATCCACAATGCTATAACTGATGCTTACTTATGCTGTTATGAAACATAGTTCTGTCAACTGCTTTGTGGGAAGTTACAAGCTACTTTCACTTGGATTCTATCATTGAAGCATAATACTAGTGATTGCTAAACTATTATCAGTTATACATATACATGCAAGAAGTTAATAAGATTCTTGATATTAACATTTAATATAGGAGCACTATATTTTAAATTTTTTTTACTAAACAGAATGGCAAAATTTCCATGAAGATAGTAGTATTCAACATCTAATCAGTTTGTAGTTTTACTTAGACCTGCCAATCATAGTAGCCAAGTTTCCATATTTGTCTGTAGATACAGTTCTCAAGAAAATAGGATGCCATGTCATACATTGTGTGATTTTTCTGTGGGCTGGATTATTGTATCAAATAATCTGGATTCTTGATGGAGTTGAAATGAGTCTGACTGAGCAACTGGAGTGAGGAGGGAAAGGGCTATGTTCTTGGGCGATGGTTTAGACAGCATTTCTACTTAGGATTTACTATGTGAGATAGACCTTGGAATGTTCCAGGAACTTTCCTACAGAAAAAGAACTCACCGCATTCATTCCTTGCCCAAAAAATGGGACGATGGCATGAGCTGCATCTCCCATGAGCACACAGTGTGACTTCAGGTGGAAGGGAGAACACTTCACTGATATCATGGGTTGGGCAGGCAGCAGGAAGAAGTTTCTCACGAGGGCTTGCCTTTGGGAGAAAGCGATCAGAATATGAACAGGTTACTGGGGCCAAGCACTGCTAAGTTCTTTCAGATTTATTGGCTTTATTTTGATGAAAACCATGAGAATGACAGCAGTAAAACAGCAACCGAGAGAGATGTCGTTCAGTGGAAGATTGCTCATCTAACATATGTATGAAAAGCTCCTGAGAACCCGGGGAAAAAAGAAAAGGGAAATTGGTTTCTTCTAGAAACAATTTTTGCTATTTTAGGGCTATGGAGAAGGCTAATTTGGTAAAGGCTGGCCATGCAAGCATCAGCATCAGTTAAAAGCAAGAGACAGAAGCGGAATGAAATCTTGCTGTAAACCAGGACTGATGGTACATGACTATGTTTTTAGCACCAAAGGGACAGGGATTATAGGTTCCAGGTCAGCTTGGATTCCAACAGAGAAGCCCTTTGTGGGAAACAAAACCTCCTGCTCCTCTTTGGCCTGATTGTTCATGTGCCCCAAGTTCCATGTGTGAAATTGGAATTCTCAGGGTGATGATATCTGCAGCTAGAACTTGGGAGGGAATTTACTTGCGAGCATGGAGCCCAAACTGAATCGGATTTGTGCCCTTACAAAACAGACCCTAAGGAGATCAATGTCCTTTCAGTCACAGGTGTTCTCACAACAGAAGGTGCCTTCTGTGAGCCAGGAAGTAGCTCTCACCAGATACAAACCTGTTGGTGCCTGGATCTTGAACATTTCAGCATCCAGAGCTGGGAAAAATAGCTTCTGTCGATCCTGAGTCACTTGGTGTGACATTTTTGTTGTGGCAGGCCTATACAGCTAACACTGTTTCTGAAGCACTGTTTTGTCTCCCCGGAGAGGGCACCAGAGTGAAAAGTAAGCGAGGTGTTTGTTTTGTTTGCTGTGTGCCTGTGTGCCTGTGTGTGTGTGTGTGTGTGTGTGTGTGTGTGTGCGCGCTCATGTGTGTAATATTTGGAGGAAGCAGAGTCCTCAAATGAGAACATACAGCAAAGTTCATGTGGAGGGTGATGCTGACATGGGCCAGATGAGCTGACATGGGCCAGATGAGCAGCGGATTACAAACCAGTGTGCTAGCTAATTTACTCAGCTTTGTGGGTCAGAACTTAATGTAACAGGAAAAATAAAAGACCCAGAGACAGAAATTGGAGTTGAAGCTTCAAGCTGAAGATCAGAAAAGCAAAGCAGCCAAGCCAGTAGAGACAGATGCTGGGGGCCACTAGCTCTTACCTCTACCTCAGCTCAGACCAAAGGGGCGATCCTCAAACTGCTCCCAACTTCACTGCTCCTCAGATTCACTCCGACTGCTATGCTGTCCTCAGTGTGGCTGGAGACTCAATGCCTTCCTACCCTCCATGTGGCTGGAGAAGGAATCCCAGCTCTGAGATCCTGTTCCTGTCTTAAATATCTCATGAGTCCTGGGATTAAAGGTGTGTCACCCCCAAATGCTGAGATCATCTTTGTGTGAGCTGTTTCTCTTTAAGACTAGCTGTATTTCATATAGTCAGTGTAGCCTTGAACTACCTCTTAATCTACCGAGTCCTGGGATTAAAAGTGTGTGCTTGGTTTCTATGGCTTATGGCTGATTTTGTTTCCTGAATCCTCAGGCAAGCTTTAATAAATCATAAATAATGTGTCACCACAACTTAATCCATATGGGTCCTGTGCTTAATAATGTATAGGATGACCTTATTTAGTGTACATCAACATGCAGCAATTCACCACAAGGAGCCCTGAGCATAGGAGAGCCCACAGCTAGAAAGAAGACAGGCCTGAGACAGGTATCTGCTGTGTCACATATCTGTGTCATAAATAAAGTCACAACCAGTCTTGTGGCAGGCACACCAAGCCTGGGGAGTGTGAGGAAAGCCCAGGGACACAGGTGCTTGTGTTTCTGAGATTAATTGGCTATGATTTCCATAGAACATCCACTCATAACAAAAAGCCCACTGAGACTTTCACTTTAATGCTGGTTTCCAGCCAGTGCACTTTAAAAACAAATTAAAAAAAAAAAAAAGTTGAAACGGTTTTGTTTGAATGTAAGTAAACTCAAACCAAAGAAACAAAAGGTACAATTTCCATTGAGACTTACTCTCCCATCAGAGGGATAGCATCTGGAAAGTTCTTGCGGAAGAAATCCAGCACATCATCACTTGTTGGAAGTTTTTCAAAGTCTTCAAAGGACATGAACAAGGTACATGTGAAAGACTTGTCCTATGAAGGAGAGGAACAGGGTGAGAGAGAAAAGAGACTGTGACGCTGGCACTAAGGGTAGGTCCCCAAACCACAGAGTCCTCGCTGGGACTTAGGATCTCCTGGAGGAGAATGTCCAAGCCAGCTTTTTCCCCTTTCCCTGAAGGGGAGCTCAGCCATACCACAGAGGTGCTCCTCACTTCCTGAGCCACTGAGAGAATTGCTACCATGCAAACCATCCATGTTCACCAAGAAAATACTACAGTCCTTAGAATGTTTAGAGCTCTTTCTTGTGTGTGTGTGTGTGTGTGTGTATGTTCCCTCCTCTTTTTCTTCCTCTTAAGAAATTATTGATCCTATAATAGACAGCAACAGGAAGAAAATGACTATCACAGAACACAGCAAGCTGGATATATAAACCCTAGAGACTAATGAAAGAACACACATACACACACACACCCTAATGTCCCACAGACCTTAAAGACTGGAACTGCTTTCTCATACACAGCCTAAATCTCTTTGGCTTTATTGTGGCACTTACTGCTTGACTGCCTTTGATGGAGATGACAGCACCCTAGATATGAACTCTTCATTATCTTGTCAGAACAGTCTCCTTTCTCAGATCTACATGACCCCAACTGGATGGCATTCCCCTACATATTGTATTGTGGTGGGGGGTTGGGAGGGGAGGGTGTTTAGAGTGCATGGGAGAGGGTAGAGAGGGCAAAAGGGAGGGAAGGAGGGAGGGAGGGCTTGGGGGGAGGGAGGGAGGGAGGGAGAGGGAACTGGGATCGACATGTAAAATAATAATAAAAAAAAAAAAAAAAAAACGCTTTGACTCCAAAATTTAAGTTGAAGAACAAGTTACTGGGGAAAAGTATTTCTATTTTTGTTTCCACAGAAAATGAAAAGATGTGGATTCCTTCCAGACTAATGTGGTTTGATCACACCAGACCGCCTGAAACAGAGTACAAGCTGATCCTACATTCCAAACAGCTGGACAAAACAGCCCTACAGACTACAGCTAGGATATCTGAGTCTTCTTCGAATCCCCCAAGACAGCGCCCTTTACCAGCAGGAAGTAGTTTGGAAAGAACGACGCCCAAATTCCCAAATATTGTGTATAAATGTTTGTTTTCATTTAATTGGACTTTGTTATATAAAATTAAATAAAAAATACTCTATATGCAAAAAAAAAAAAAAAAAAAAAAGAACAGTCTCCTTTCTAAAGTGAATACTGAACTTGCTTCTAGTTTTTCTTCAGAAGCCCAAAGATTCAAAGGCAGAATTATTAAATAGATTAAATAATGATGAGATCAACTAGGTTACATAAATACCCAAAACAAAAATAAGTAATGAAAATATTAATTATAGTTGTATTAGTAGCTGATAGGAAGTTGTTCATTACCATGTTTGGAAGGGCAATCATCATAAAGGCATTTCTGGGCCAAATATGAAGATAATTAGGCTCCATGGCATACTGTAGGGCAAAGAACACAGGTTCAATTAGCAAGGAATTCATTTCTACCATGGCTTTTTACTGCAGTGATCTAGACCATTCCCATAGATATGGCACATTGCACAGAAGATACTGTCTTAGAAAATACTTTGGGTTCTATCTTTATACATTCAAATTTGGGCAAGTTTTTTTTGTAAGCACTTATTTCAAGATTTAAAAACATACTATAATAAGATTGTTTCTCTTTCACATAAATATGCATGTTAATATACATATGTATTACATGCACAAATATATATGCATACATACATATAAATATCATAGATGTGGATAGATGTTTGTGTGTGTAGGATTGTGTGCAATAATTTATACCTAGTGCTTTTTTTAGACTGAACAGAAAAGTTTTGGATCTAAGTAGTAAGAACAAAACTGCTTCTGCTTAATAATAATCTAAGAGGAAGGAAGACAGAGTTGTGGTGATGACTGCAAGTATAGGAAATAATGGGGTGATGTGTAAGTGGTTAAAACAGGGTCTTGTATAGAAGACCAGAATGCAGGCAGGCTAAGCAGGGAACAGCAGAGCTTTGGTACAGTTTTGCCACCTTTCACCAGCTGTTCAAGGTGGAGATGCACCAACCACTTGGATGGGAGTGGAACAAATACCCCAAGTGTTCCTCCTGCCATCTGTTGTATTTTTCTACCACCCCCTCATCTTTTCAGAAATCTAAAAGGTAAGACAAGGAGGAAAATAGCAAGAGAAGCTAATTTGGTTTCCCTACACAAAATCAAAGGGCAGAGCTTGATTAAAATAGAGAAGAAGACAACATTTAAATTCTGTCCTCCTCACTGACACAAATAATGGCTTGCATATCATGGCAAGGACAGTATGCTACCAAGAACACATGAAGTTCACAAAAAGGCCTAGAGCCTAGTAGGCAACCTTCAAGCCCCAACTTCTTTATTAACAAGCTACACTCTCGAGAGATGCCTGTATGGGATGGCAGTTTGAGGGCAGCTTGAAATCCCTCAAAACATAAGTTCAGATAGCTTTCTGATTGTGCCAGAACAGCTCAGAGACAAAGCTTGGAGTGTGGGGAAGGAGAGACGGAAAAGACATAAGAGCTGGAGGATGTTGAAATTGAAACGGTGTTTCTAGACACAGCATGGCTATTGCACACATGAACTCATGGCATCTGTGGCTACTTGCACAAGATCTACACAAAATCAAGCCATCTTAAATTTCCACACAGATAAGGGAGATGATTTTCAGGGACTGTGTCTTCCTGTGAAGCTTCTGGCAATTGATAGCTAACGCTAGAGGAGGGAGAATCTTTCTTCTTCGAGAGTGTGGCCACTGGTAAGTTTCCCATGTTCCAGGAGATGATTCCATATCCATACACATATGAGCAGCACTAGCTGGACTTAGTGTGTGAAAAAATAAGACTAAGAATAAAAAAAGGAGGAGGAAGAGATGAAGCCATGAGGGATATGTGTCAAGAGGAGATAGGGAGTTATGTCATTGTATACACATATAAAATTCTCAAAGAATAAAATAAAATATAGGCTTTAAGGCAAAGCAGTAAAGCTAAGTTCACAAACCCTTAAAAAAATGAAAAGAATATATATCTTCCCAATAATACCCAAAGGCTTTGCATCCAGTCTTTCTTCCCACTCCACACCTCAGAGATGAAGAGCAAGTAGCACATCAAAAAAAAAAAAAAAAAAAAAAAAAAAAAAAAAAAAGAAAGAAAGGAAGGAAGGAAGGAAGGAAGGTAGAGAAAGAGGAGAGAGGAAGAAAAGATGTAGAAAATTCCAGGAAGTGATCTGAGCTGATCTTACACAAAGATCATATGTTTTCTCGAATTTTGGGTCCTAGATTTTACTTAGACACATAAAATCGTGCATATATACTGCAAGAAAGTAGAAGTAAAACTATGTAGGGGACAAAGAGGGAGAAGAGAAAGAAAGGGCAGATGGTCCTGGGGAAGAATATGCTGGGTGCATAATACATGTCCAAAAATCTTAAATACAGAAATAAATTCTTTTAGAGGAGAGAAATTTAAAAAAAAATGTATTGCCCAGGATTGTTTGGGGGCCTTGTTAAGCTGTCCCTGTCTTTGGGCCACATTTGTCTCAAGACACTGGTGTTTGAGAAAATGAGATCTTGAGAAAAAAAAAAAAACTAAACAGACTACTAATCGTTACTAATAATTACATGTGGCTGAAATGTGATTACCTCATAGCTACCTTACTGGGTGCTGCTCTGCTGACATCAGGGCTGGCCTGTCAACAGAACTATCTCACCCTGGAATCCAGAGTAATCAGCTCTCCAACTGTGTGGTCAGGAGTCTCATACAACAGACACAGGGAAATTAGTGGAGCAATTTGATGAGGAGAATGCAATAGAAAGACAATGAGGTATTAAAAATATCAATTTGATTGCCCTGTACAGTATGTTAGAATGTAACTCCCCTGTCTCAACTAGACATTTTATAGATGACTTACTTCATCTAGGAGAGATGAAATCAGATCCAAACTTTAGAATGGATGTTTTGGATGCAAATTAAGCATCTGATGTTATCTGCTCTATCTTGTAACTTGGTGTTCTTATATTGCCTCTGTTAATATTTCCTTTTCCCTTTTCCATAAGGTTTCTATGTTTGATTATGACAGAGTAAAATCGTTTTGTTTTATTTTTAAACATAAAATCCTATATTAAAGTAATTTCATGTGAAAATTTCCATAGCACTTAATTTGCTTCTGGTGTAACCTATTATTTAGCAATGGAACAATATGGGAATGGGAAAAACACAATATAAAGTATCTTTTCAGAAATATATCATTAATATACTCCATTAGCTCTCTTTAGATGCTCCTATGGGGCAAGGGCTACGGGAAGGGAGAAGACCTACCTCTCCATTCTTTGGTGGAATTGTCAACTCCATGTACCCATGAGGGATATATTGCTGACTGTAATCAAAGCGGGGCTTCTTCATGAGGTGGGCTCTGACTGTTGAATAGGCTCCATCACATCCTACAATGAGGTCACAAGTGACATCTCTGGGAACTTTGTCAGGTCTGAAAAACAAAATGAACCATTTCCTCCACCAACAAAAACATCTAGTGAAAATGGCAATATATTTCTACTTGGGCATAAAAAGCAAACTCTAGAGGTAACTCAAAACACCCACTTTTACAGATCTCATTTACAGCCTGACTTTATCAGACTTGAATCAACAGATTTAAAATTATGATGGAAATGCTTGTCCCAGACATGGTTTTACCTTTGAAAATGAGAATAACGTACTGCTACCCTGATACTAAAGACAGATGTGCTAGCTCCAGAAGTGTGACAGAATTGATGGAAGAAAACAGGAAAGTCGTCCTGACATGTAGAGGTAAATACATCTATCTGTAAGTGTGAATGGTCACTGTAAGTGTGAGGGGCCTCAGGAGCATCTGCAGGCATGTGACCAGGATTTGTTGGAGAAAACAATCTTGGTTTGAGTAAAGGACACCAGATAATAAGCTTAAGAGCAGAACACAGTTGCCCCCTGTTGACTGACTTCCAGGATTGGTTCTAGAATATCCAAATCTGCAGATGCTCAAGTATTCACATATGCATTTGCATATACACAGTATTTGCATATGTCCTATACACTCACACACTCTCCCAGATGCTTCACTTCTCTCTAGAAATGCTGTGTGAGAGGTTGCATCATCAGGGAGCAAGGGCAAGAGTAAAAGCCTTTGCATGGTCAGCACAGAGGACTTCTTTTATTGTTGTGTTTTCTTGGAGATGCCATATCTGTTTTGGATACTTTTGTCTGAGGTTGGTTGTACCAGTGATTAGAACATCAGTAGATATAGAGGGTTAACTGTACAACTCACAGAGGGCAAAGAAGGGAGGGAAGGAGAATTTTGGATATTAAGACAGAAGTTTAAATTCATGATTCTGGCAAAAGGCAGAAAATGATTTCCTCCATTAGAAGGATGATGATTGGAGAGTTGCAGTTTCAGGAAGCTGACTTTTCAATCTGAAGTGGAAAGGGGGACATACAGGAGGGGATGGCAAGTAGCCCACCCATACAGGGGACAAAACCTGGACACCATCAAATCACAGGAAGAGGAAAGCGCAGAATGAAAGACATGGTGATGAGAATGTACAGATTTTAATGGGAGAAAACAGGGGAGCAGAGCACACCATAAGGGGCTGTTTGTGCCAAAACAGTCCCAGGGAAGACAGGAATGGCTGGGGGCAGAGGGTGGGGCAATAGAGATGAGAAAGGCTTCTAAGAATCTGAGGTAATGCAGCTCTACTGGGATTGGGACATCATTGACCAGGACTTCACTGCCACTGAGAATGAGGACAGAGGTCTGGGCACACACTGCTAATGTTAGAGATATGAATTTACAAATGATTGTGTAACCCTTGACTGATGTCTGGTGTTCCAAGAGTGAGACTTTAAAAAGAAGTCACAGCATGACAAAGGACACGAGACGAGGCTGGGGAGGGCCACCGATTTCTAAGGATGAGAGCATCTGAACAGAGAATGGTGACCCGAGAGTGGAAATTAAGGAGAATTACCAGCTCTGCGTACTCAGAAAGCATCTAGGGACTATTCTCAAACAGAAAGGCCTGGCTGTCACGACTATTTGAATTCTTGCTTCGGTAATCACTTAACTCTTCCAAAAGAGCAAAGAACAAAGTTTGCAGGTAGAGTTCTCCACTCCCACCCCTGGCCTCTGAAGCCCAAAGCCTGAATGGTGATTACCCAAGCACGGTGAGTACCCCTTCCTCGGGACGGCATTTCGACAGCTTATGGCCAAAGTGCACCTTCGCATTGGGGTATGACTCCACCGCTGAGGGAAGAAACAGAAGGTAAACAGAACTGCTTTTCAAATGTAGCTTTACCTAATCAAACTGAAATGCTGGTCATTTGCTTCCAGCAGGAGAGAAAGATACTACTTAGTAATTAACTATCTATTTATTCATGACAGTGTCTTACTATGTAGTACACTCTTTATTTTTTAATTAAAAAATTTTTTTGGTGTTTTTCAGGACAGGGTTTCTCTGTGTAGCCTTGGCTGTCCTGGAACTCACTCTGTAGACCAGGCTGGCCTCAAACTCACATAGATCTGCCTGCCTCTGCCTCCTGAGTGCTGGGATTAAAGACATTTACCATGACACCTGGCTATTATTTTTTTAAAGTCAAGCTGAACATGGTGGTGCATAGGCTTTAGTTTTCTTTTTGTTTATTTTTTAATTTATTGTTATTATTAGTTTGTTCCTTTTGTTGAGACAGGATTTCTCAGCATAACAGCCCTGGCTATTCTGGAACCCATTTTGTAGACCAGGCTGGCCTTGAACTCAGAGATTCACCTGCCTCTGCCTCCCAAGTGCTGAGGTTGTTGTGTGCCACCATATTATTCTTAATATGACATGAATTTGTTAAAATGGTATTTTACAACTGTTTTGTGGATAGTCTAGTATAACTTTTAACAATACTGACAAATGAGAAACAGCTGTTGTCACTTCAAAAATACTCAACTAATAACATTGTACAAACTCCAGCATCCCCGGGATTGTTTGTGTCCCTGGAAAGACATAATTGTCATGTACTTCAAAAGTTACCTTTAAAGCTTGATTTGTGACTGGAAACACTCAGCTATTAAGAATACTCCCTCCAACTTGCATGCCTATCTATCACTTTCTCCCCTGGGCTTCTGGCTCATGGTAGTCCCTTGATATTTGGATACTAAGCAACTGTAAAACTGGTAAAGCTTGTGTGGTGGTGCATGCCTCTAGTCATATTACATAGGAGGCTGAGGCAGGAGGATCCTGAGTTCAAGGCCAGCTTAAGCTATGTAGTAAGACTGTGTCTCAAAAAAACAAAAAGGGATTAAAAAAATAAAAAAATGAACTACCCCCTGCCACTAATAAATAACCTAGTGAAAATTGAAATATATTTCTACTAAGATTAATAATATATTCCCGAAGAGAAATAAATAAGAAGAGAAAAGAAAAAGGACAATTTTTTTTTGTCGTGTAACAGCAGAAATCAGATCTGACACAGTTAGGATATCTTTCTTTCAAAAAATTAAATTTTGTTATACTGGATTACAATAAAGCCACATTTATATGATTAAAACATTACACATGTGGCTTGGCATTTGTGGTCCCAGGCCAAACAGTGCCGTCTTGGGAGGTTCCCAGGGCAGAACATTGTGTAAAGATCTTGAGAACTGCTTTTAGGAAAGGACTTTTATAAGTGTCTTGATACAGGAATTACTGAATGTCCCAACCACATCTGTCCTCTTTTCCTTATTAACATTGAATAGATGAGCAAACCATGAAACACTGGTACATCCAATGTGGGTTCATCTGAGAATGGGGTTCACTTACAATGTTTTCAGAGGGGAGGAAATTAAGTTAGAGAAAAATAAGTATAGTTTATCAGATATGTGGGAAGGGTGGGTCTGTCTCTCTCTCTCCCTCTCCCTCTCACACACACAGAAAGAGAGAGAGACACGGAGAGATAATGCACCATTTTACTAATTTGGAACCTGTGAAGCACATCCTCAAAGAAAACCAGTATGGAAATGTCTGTCATATGCACCAAGACTGTAAGTGTGTGTGTGTGTGTGTGTGTGTGTGTGTGTGTGTGTGTGTGTGTGTGTGCGCGCATTTGTTCTTTAGTATTAGTTGGTGTTCCATATATAATAATAAAGGCAGAAATTGAGTCACTAAAAAGCAGACTTTGGAATAAACAGACTAAAGCTCAACTCTAGATTCTACCACTTGTAACAGTGGGACCTAAGATCTTGAAGCTTTTCGTTTTTTCATTTGTAATGCTGAGATAAACTTAATTCCTGCCTCACATAGTTGTTGGGAGGGTTGTGGAAATCAGTGTGTGTGAAGCACTTGCTATAGGGCCTGGTGCTTCAGTAACAGCTGGCTATTATCTTAGTAAATTCAGAGCATGTTAAACAGGTCTGTGACATTGCTACTCTAATAAGCTGCTTGGTGGTTATCATCTTTCTAAAAATTAACAGGGATGTGTATGGTACACTGGCCCCACTCCACCCACCATCTAGCTGGAAGACAATCCCAAATATAACTAGAGGTGAAATTAATCCTATGGAACATTTAACTTTCTAAAAAAGACAGATGTGTCTACAATATATCAATAAGGGTTAGTTTAAAAGGCAATAGAAAATCAACAAGAAAGAAACCTTCTTGGTACTAGGAATCTAGACAATCCCCCAAGGCTAGTGATGTTGTGGGTCTTGGAGGAAAACCTACAACTACCACTTTACTAAACCAGCATCATTCCTCCTAACTCCCTTCTAACATTTGTCCTTATACCCATAGAGTAGGTGTAGCTCTCACCCCTCATCAAGGAAATGTCTCTTTGTAACAGATGGAGATCATTACAGAAAACTACAGCCAATCAAAATGCAGAGTTGTGGAGCCCTTCTAAAGGATATATCTATAAGGCAGGCCTGTACCTAATGCTCAGGGAATAATGTGGAGGGGGCAGGGAGATCGAAAGAGTCAGCGGACCAGAGTCTGCTGTGACATTAGTCTCCTTGTAGTGTCAGAATTTACACCCATAATGTCTCATTGACATGGTTGCCTAAACATGAGCTGAACAAGGACAACACAGAAGTGGATGGGGAAAGCCATTGGGGCCCCAACCCTACACACAGAACCGTAGGCAAGGCAAACTGAGAGCAGGAGAAATCAGTTGTCTTTCCCAGGTTTGGTGGTTTGAATAGGAATGGCCCCCATAGGCTTGTGTGTTTGAATGCTTGACCTATAGGCACTGGCACTATTAGGAGCTGTGACTTTGTTGGAGGAAGTGTGTCACTGTGGGAGGAGGCTTTGAAGTCTATGCTCAAGCTATACCCAGTCTGGGACACACTACTGTTTCTGTTGCCAAAGGATTAAGATGTAGAATTCTCAGCTCCTTCTCCAGCACTGTGTCTGCTTGCATGCCACCTGCCATGATGTTTATGAATTAAACATCTGAACTGCAAACCCCAATTTAATGTTTTCCTTTATAAAAGTTGCCATGGTCATGGTGTCTCTTCACAGCAACGTAAATCCTAAGACACCAGGGAGGAATGCACCAATTGGTTATCCAAAACCAAATGGTCAGCCCTGAAAATATACATACAAATAACATTATACATACTGAAAAGATTATACTGAGAAATATCTATCTATCTCTCTCTCTCTCTCTCTCTCTCTCTCTCTCTCTCTATCTATCTATCTATCTACCTACCTACCTACCTACCTATCTACCTACCTTCATACATACATACATACATACATACATACATACATATATATATATATATATGCCAATAACAACAACTAATGAAAAATGGTGTCATATATTTGAGAGAGTAAAGAGGGGTATATGGAAGGTTTTGAAGTGAGGAAAGGGAAGGGGGAAATGATGGGATTATATTATCTCAAAAGCAAAAGAAGTTTTTTAAATTAAAAAAAAGGAGATAGTAGAAATGTTTGAGGGGTATGCTCTGCTGGTGGTGAATGTGTTCTGTGTAACAATTGAACTAGCATAATCTACTGTTAAACATAATGAGGACTGAGAGGTTACCAAGGGTGTGAAAGGTACCAGGGGTATGTGGGATAATTAAGTAAACTTGCAGATTTACTTGACTGGTCTGATAGCTTCCAGTTCTTCTTAGTTGCTCAGAGGACAAACTTGAGAGCTAGATCTCTCATGGTTCCTCTTTCTCAGTCCCCTCACACATTTGGCCTCCTTCAGACATGAACCTGCCCCCCCCCCCCCATTCACCACACTGCTATCTAATTTTGCCCAGGGCCTTGGCTAGGCACTTGGGAACTATGACAATACCCTCAAGGTTGCAGCCTCCTTTCAGCCTCCACATTTATCTTCCTGACATGCACATCTAACAAGGCACTGGGCAAGTTGTCTGCTTATGTCTGTTGACTGTGAGTTCTTGATCAGACAATGAGTGGTAGAATTCCAGTGTCTAAGGAATGAATTATTTTCACTTAGATAATTGATGAGATGAAAAGAGACATTGTGGCATAGCCCATAAAAGGAACAGCAACCAAACCCTAGTAAGTCATGTGACGAGCTGAGTAAACAAAAGCATTAGACTTACCAGTCAGTAGATCCTTGTTTAACTTTTCTCTGCTTATGGAAAGGATATACTGTAAGAAAAACAAAGTAGATATTGTTTCTGGAGAAGGGGCAAATGCCACTCTAAGTCACTCAGAAAGAAGAAATTTTCACCATTCAGCAGAAGGTTGTAAACTAGTTTTAGAACCATTTAGCTAAGTAGTATAAATAAAGTGATGATGATGATGATAATACAATGATGATAAACAACTTTAACCAAACAAGTTAAATATAATATCCAAATTTTTAACTTAGATTTACTCCAAGTTTGATTCTAAAAAAGTCAAAACCTTCTCATACCCTGAAAATACTGGTTTTATTAACATAATTTTAACATTATAAATTCCATATTTCCGGCAGAGCTTTCTAAATATGGTTTTTACATTGCTTCTCTAACTGATAACATCAGAGCAAATGCACTGTTTCCCCCCCCAAACCGATCTACTTCCAAGGCCTTCATTTCAGAGAAAACTGTATGTGAAGGTAACATGGGGTAGGGGTGGAGGTTGTAGGAGGACAGCCTTTCACTATGACATACGTTGTTCATTTCAGACTTTGTGGTAAAATGTAGCAGGTTCACTGGCCTATAATGCAATGCACATGTGGTGTCTAGGGACCATAATACTTTAAACATCTGTTAAAAGTGTTTTATTTTTTAGTTTAGTTTAAATGCAGAAAGAAAAAAAATCAAGAAAAATATAAACTGATCTATAACAATAAATCTTAGGTTGCTTATATTTATCATGATACTATTAAAATCACAAAAAGTTAAATTTAATATTAATTGTTTTATAGCAAACATACTTACCATGGACCATGAAAGTCACAGCACAGTCTTATGATTTGGAGTAAATTCATTAAGCATTTAAAGCATATTTTTCCAAATTATGGGATATTACACAGTTTTAACACAAAAATATTAACTTAGGCTTTTCCTCTCATTCTAAAGTAGAAATTTTACCTTAGCAGCAAAATCTAAACTTGCTATAAAAATAACTCAGTCATACCACAGTGACAGTGGCTGGGGAGATGCCTTTGTGATAGGGCAAGACAATGCGGAGGTTTCTCCATCTTGGATTCTTGCTGAGGTGGTTTCCAGGTTAACTAGAATCTGTATCTCCTTGATGGAGAATCACATAGAAAACAACCCAACTCTATCTAGGAACAAAGGCCAGGCTGCCCTATCTAATTATCTTAGCCTTTGTTATCAGGGCTTGTTTGTTATAGAATCTCCCTCCTGCTAACCACTTAGCTTCTATTAAAAGTGCTTGCTTCAAACTGCTTACTCTGCGAAACCCCCGCCTGACCTCAGATGCTGAGCAAGATGCCTGGGTAAGGCCTCTGTCCTAACAATAAACAAACAAACAAACCATGTTCTGGACACTCAGGGCCACACCTAGGTCCCGGTCCCAGACACTTGGGTGTAGTCCCAGGCAGCTGGAATAAAGATTTTCAATTCACTGTAAACTGTGTCTGAGTGATCATCTCAGGTGAGCTTCCCCATAATACTGATGTAAGAAGGCAGACCTGTTCTTTGCCTCATGGTTCTTTTTCCTGTGTCACTAATCACTGCATTTCAGTGGAAACCAAATGTGTGTTCAGACTGTGAAAGGCCAAGGACTACAGCTCATGGGTAGTACTTGTACAACTTGTACAAGGACATTAGGAAATGTTCCAATTGTAAATATTAATTTAAATTAATGTGGTGAAAATAGTCTTCGCATTTGTGCTGTGGGAACCAATAGACCTAGAGGTCCAAATGGCTGCCTACACATCTCTACCATTCACTCCCACTGTTGGGATGGTATTACCTCATAAGCAGGTGTCAGTGCTTTTCCTGTCACAGTCCATGCCTCCAACACATATTCCAAGAGGCTGATCCCTCAGGGAACGAATAGCAGTAAAGAAGTTTAAAGATACAAAGTGGCTCTTATGACAAAAATTAAAGTCACTTTAGAGAATTGATTTGGAGATATGTAATGTGATTCTTTAAATGCAGACCATTTCAAATACGACAAGGGAAAGCAGTTTCTCTCTCTTCAATGCCCTCAGAGGAAGATGCCCCCTGCTAGGGGAGCAAGGTATCTTAACTTTGAACACAGAAGCTTAGGAGCTTTCCTGAAGCTTTGATCACCTCTGTGTATTACACAATACCTTGACAGTTCCCAGGTTCGTCTAGGGAGGAGAGGGAAATGTCCAAAAAGCCAGGAGGCATCTGTATATGGTGTGGGAGAAGGGGCCAAGAGACCAGCTAGAGGAGGAAGGGGCAGGGAGGGTTTGAGAAGTCAGCTTTGAACATTGTGGGTATATAAACTGTGTTTTATGCTAAGGGCATCATCCATGGACAAGAAGATTCATTTTTTCCCTTTCTCCTCCTTCCTCCCCCACTCTCTTTTCTTCTCTCCTTGCCTCCCTCTCCCTCGGTCTCTCTTTGTGTGTGTGTATGTGTCATATATTTGTGTGATGGTATGATTGGAAGCCAGAGGTGGGTGTCCTCCTTTCTCCCCCTCCACTTTCTCTGCTTCCTTCCTCTAAGATAAAGTCTCTTCCTGTCCCTGGAGCTGTGCTAGTAGCCAACAAGACCCAGTGATCCTCCTGTCTCTGTACCTCATGACACTGAGATCACAGAGATAATAGGTGTGCCTATACTTGGCTTGTTATGTGTATGTATTTATGTGTATGTATGTATCTGTGTGATTGAACACAGGCAGCCATGGACATTAGAAGAGAGTGTTGGATCCCCTGAAGCTGGAATTACAGATGGTTATGAGTTTCCCAGTGTGGGTGCTGGAAATTGAATTCATGTCCTCTGGAACAGTAGCAAGTGCTCTTAACCATCTCTCCATGCTGAATGCTGTGGATTTGAACTCAGGGCCACATGGCTGCACAGTAAGTGCTGTTACTCACTGGACTCCATTTGATACATGTTATTTTTAGGAAGTTTTGTGAGTAAAGACTGAGAAATGGGTGGCTTTTGTGTCTGGATCTTGGTGGTAGCCAGCTGGGTGAGAGGGATCCAGGTGCCAAAAGGCTGCAGAAGCCAAAGAAACCTGGACTCTCTGAAGATGTGAAAAAGTCTTGGGGTCACAAGGAAGACTGCACTTCCTCAGGCAGAGCAACTGAGTGCTTCAAAGTAACTTGAAGTAGTTCTTAAAGGGCAAACTGGCCTTTGAGTTTGACTAAAACATGACAGATATCAATGCAGTTGTGTAGAAACTGAAGAATGAGGGTGGCTGGAAACTTAGCATTCACCCAGCTTGTAACAACTGAGAAATAGCAGCGGTGGTGGGAAAGGGAGCATTTCCTCCCTACTGTAGTGAAGGCTCCACAATTGGAAACTCCCACACACACCTGCTCCCTCTTGGTGAATCGATCCCCACCACAACAACTGAAGAAAAGTATCGTGCCCTCCTGTCCCAGTCACTTTCCTCTTCTAGTTTCAGTGGTATTTGAACTATATCTTCTTCTGTCCACCGATACGTGACTGGCCAGGGCTCTAGGGTGGACTTGGCTGGATAGCTCTGCTTCCTTAGGATGTTCCATGGTAATACAAAAGAATAGTGAGATGATATCACGAGTCACTTGGCATAGAACCAGACAGCAATGGGGCTATAGGCAGTGCTGCCTGGGCTTCTGGGTCACATCCCTGCAAAGAAACTTGCTTTCTTTTCTCATTCAAGTCTGCAGGCTCTTCTTCTTCTCTAAAGCGTGGTTCAAGTTCAATAATTCTAAAGATTATGCTAGAGTGAACTTACATGTCTTCTCCATCAAACCCCTGAAACGCACTTTGCATTTCAGATTTAAGACTTAGGAATGAAGTCCTGCCCCAGCTTTTCTCCATTTGAACAGGGTAATTCTATTTTGCTCGTGATTTAAAATTTCTACCAAGTGTTTCAGATTTTACCTTCTCTGTAGCCTTTCTATACGCTACAACTTCCCCCTTTTTCCAAGTCAGCCTTCATTTTCTGACCATACCATACAATACGCTTCCCTTGTCTTATTTTATTGATGTCTCTTCCTCCACAAACCAGATGGCTGTCCCTTGTCCTTCAGAAGAATGTGAACCTTACTTGGGCTCTGTGCTTCATAAGGCATGGCTTTAAAAAAAAAAAAAAAAAAAAAAAAAGCAAACTGGGAATTCCCCTCTTGTTGATGGATGTTTGGGGCCTTCATCCTCTCTGAAAGAAACAAACTCAAAGGGTATAATTAGATGTAAATACATTTTCTCCAAACTATGAATGTCAGCATGTAAAAGACAAGAAAAACACAGAGCAGGATAATGGATTTGCGTTCGAAAACATCACCATCTGTTGTTTGAGGAATTATGAAGTACTGAAAGCTTTTCTGGTTCATTCTATATATTTTATTATAAGCAAATTCAGGGCAAGATGATAATTTAGGGGAAGGCAACTGCAGTGCAGTGTTTCCCAGTGTTGTTCTTGTACATGATATTCAACAACAAGTAACATGGTAATTTTCTCTAATTGAAAAGGAGGTAGAGGGCATCCTGAACAGCTGGACAGCAGGATCCACACACTGAACAAAAAGTGGCCTCATGATGAGATTAATAGGAGGAGCTTAGTCTTTGTCATGATGGGTGATATCAGTTGGGCCCTGGATTGAGCATCTGTGAACTATCTAACAGGTATATGTGTTTGTTCCTGGCCTCTAGATTGTGGCTGGAGGTATCAGGGTTAACAAGCAAGAGGCACATTGCAAGCATCAGGCTCAGTTAGCATTGATGCATAATCCACTGCCTCTAACATAAACCTACCTGAGACTTGTTCCCATAGGGAATTGCAGACTTCTTTCCTGACAGAGAGTGGATCATTCTCGCTCTCATGGGCACACCTTTGGAAACGATCTGAGAACCAGAAACATCCATGTTTATCACTGAGACAACACCACAAGAATTAAATAGATGTGAATTTAAACTATATTTTTCAGTTAAACCTCTAAAGGGACCCAGGAAGCCTAATGTGGTTGAAAAGTCACTCAGTCACTACTTTGCTCCAGAGTATGTCAGTGTTTCTTTGAGTTGTAAGAAAATGAATGTTTGTCTGGCTTAAGCCAGATATCACAGACTACAGGAATGGTTAGGTGTTAGAGGTACTGAGTTGGGGGGCTTTTCTTATGACTATGGGCAGGGTCACTGTGAGGAGGAAAATGCAATCCTCCATGGTGTCTGTTGTATTTCCTTGGTGTGAACTCTCTGGTTAGAGGTAATGTTGCATGTGGCAGCAAGAGGCCATGCCTTCAAGTTCCTTTTCTGACTTCCCTCAATGATGACTATACCCTGTGGCATGAAACAAAGCTTCTCCTCTCCTAATTTGCTTTTGATCAGAGTGTTTCATCACCGGAAAAGAAACTACAGCACCCCTACCCAGCCAATCAGAAGTCCACCTTCCTGTGAGAGCCCAGTGTGAGACATGATATCTGGTGGGATTGTAGTGTCATGTCTTTGACTCCCCGCCCCCATGCCTCAAGTCTCCACCCCATCATGTGTTAAGGGTTTACTAGCTTGTCAAGTCTGGAATTTTCCAAGCTTTTGCTGAATGAATTTTCATATGCAGCTCACCAGTATCAAATGTTTCATAATTGAATTGATATGGAATTGTTGAAAGACATCAAATATGTTCATCTCCATGAAAAACTTAGGAGGGCTAAGGCAATGGCCTAGTAAGAGTGCTTGCTTTTTGAGACTGTGGACAGGCTTTTGGATCCCCAGTGGCAAACTCAAGTGTCAGTGAAAGATCCTGTCCCAAGAGGATAAAGCAGAGAATGGCAGAGCTGGATACCCAACAACTTTGTTTGGCATTTGTGAGTACTAGTGTGGGCATGTTCACCCAACTCATACATGAACACCTAGATCTATATCACACACATGCACGCATGCATGCACACACACACACACACACACACACACACACACACACACAGATACACGGGCACTCATACACAAAAAAATTTTTTAAAGAAAAAAAAAAACTGCATCAACAATGTACCTGATCTTCCAGGCCAATGGCCTTCAAGGCCTGCCGTCCTCTGTAAGAAAGGGCCAAGTTAATGCTTCTTCCTTGTGTAAACTGAGCCACTCGAATATCTAAAACAGGAAACAGACTCTGTGTTGCACATGCTTCCTCAAATGTGGCCAAGGAGTATGCAAATCCTTGCATTTGAGCAATTTTTCAAGTCAGAGTCAAGTTAAAAGACTCAGTAACTTGTCTAAAGATAATACCAGGTGTGAATTAACATTCAATTAAATTTAGATCACTGAGACTTTAAAAGTATTCTAATATTTCTTACATCTTAAATTTCCTTTATTAAAACTTCTTTTATTCAGAAAATTTAAAGAAATAGATCAAGCAATTGGAAACTCTTCCCCCATTTCCCATTACCAACTTACCTTCCCTGGCTTCATACACATCAACTTGAAAATTCCTCTTTGCAAGAAAGCACGCATTCAATGCTCCAACCTAGAAATCAAAAACAATCTTTTTCAAGTCTTGATTGGTTCTGTACATACTCGGACATTTTGGTGGAAAACTCACTATTGTGTATAGATGGATATATAGTCCATTCATCGCATTGACTTAGTTGTAGTCACTGCTCAAAAAGATGAAAGGCAAGATCAGTCAGATCATGTACGTCTGATCTTGTAAGCCTATAATCTAGCTGAGGCAGGAGGTTCTTAAGTTCAAGACCTGCCTTTGCGATTTAGGAATAGCCTGTCTCAGTATCAAAAGTGAATACTACCTTTGTCTAGCATGAGCAACATTATGACATCATTTCCCAATAATGTAAAGTAACATAAAAGAATAAAACAAAATAATCAGATTAATTCAAGATTAAATGGTATACTTGTAGTCATAGGTTTGGCTTTCTTTTTTTCTGCAAAGGAGGGGACAGGTGTTGGAATATTTAGAGAAGACCTTTTCATAATCTAACACATAAGAAAATACTCTGCTAGCATCCCAAAATGGCCATTATAAAGGGATGAACAAGTGAATTCTGGTGTATTTACAGAAATGTATAAGTAAAAAGTGAGCAACAGATGATTCATACTATGTGACATTCTTACAAAAATGATACTAGAGACACAATTATGGGTATATGTATATGTATATATGATCATATGGCATGAATATGATAAAATATTAATTAAAAGGAAAATACCCATGGCAGTGTTCCAGTGGGAGAGGAAGAAAAAGTTAGTGGAAGTCACGGGAAAATATTAGATCTTGTGTTGAAGGTTGGGCTGGCAAGCACTTATTATTAACAATTAACTAGCAGCAACAACAAAAGCGGTAGCTAGGAGTACCTTCTTCAAGTCCAGTCACAACAGTATATTGAAGACTGTGAGAATGCCTGTTCTGTGTGAGTGAGGTTCAGATGGAGCTAAGATGAAAACATAGGCATGTATGTTCAGTCTGGTTCTAAGGCTAGGGATGCAGGCTTTACCCTCTGAAGTGTTTTCTGGAGAAAGTGCATAATTTGGAATAACTGTCAGTGTCATCTTCAGCTGTTAGGTGGCAAAGTGACTAAGAGACAAGAAGGGATACACAGATATGTGATGTGTAAGCCACTCCAAGCCTCCCAAGACTCTGTAGAGGCATAGCTGGATTCCTGTCTCTATAAGGAAGGAAGGTGGGAGAAGGAAGAAACTGGGCACACTAAGCAGGACCTCAGGAGGGTAGCCCCTCTTAGGGACATGGACATTTATGAACTCTTTTTGTATTTGTTCTAAAGCCCTCCACCAAGAGCCTACAACAGTAAACGAGGAGTAAATGAAGTGTGAGGAATAAAATTTTGCATGTAGACAAGACTGGGTTCTGTGAAATACTTAAACAAACAACAACAACAAAAAACATCAAGACCAATAGAGAGATAAAGGCAGAGGACATAAGAGTTAAAACTCTAATGAAACCAGAGCCTTGAAAGATGGAGGAAGGGTCATAGAAACATCAAAAGTGCTCTTGACCCCATGGACAAAGGAAGAGAGACTTCCACAACCCATCAAAGTCCATCCCACCTGTTGTAAGATGGCTTAGGGATGGAATGACAGAGAGAAATCTCAGAGCCTCAAGAGTGGGAAGGAAAATGAATGGTCACACAGAGGACCCAGGTTAAACAAAATGGGTCACAAAATAAAAGCAAAGTTAGGAATCTGGGGGACAGGTATGGAGGAGGGAGGTGGGACAGAGATTACAAAGGGTGGGAGTAAACGGTGGGAGAAGAGAGTGAGTAGTATGCATTTCTACCAGGAAATTTTCAGAGAACTAACTTAATAATAAAAAATGTCTACAAAAGAAAATGTGTACACAATGGAATGCTATTTAGCTGTAAAGGAAAATGCAATTAGAGCAGTTACAGGAGGACAGATGGAGTCGGGGATGATTCTATTAAGTGGAGTAAGCAGGATCATGAAGACAAACAGCTTTTTCTGCTCATATACAATACAGATTTAAGTAAGTGTGGAGGAGGCATGCATGAAGGTAGGAAGGGAACTGTGAAGGGGGGAGAGGTCTAAAGGAGGGAGGGGGACCATCAGGGTAATGGGATGTGTATGTATGTCATAAGAACAGAAAGGGAGCAGGGAGGCCAGCAAGAGGCAAGGCGGGAGAACAGGGATGGAACCATGTGAAGGATGAACAAAAACGAAGTATGATGATATACATATTGTGAAAATGTCACAAAAATTAATTTCTTTGCAAAAAATTTTAAAATATCAATAAAAAACTGAATGGAGATTTATCTTAGTATTACTAAAATAAGAACACTGAGGAAGGCTAGCAGCAAGTCTTCTACATGTACATATCAGTAGCATTTGTAGAAATGATAGACCCACATGACACACTATAAAGCCCTTGAACTAACATTACATGAGCTTTGCTGGGTTCTATGCATCAGGGATCTTTCTTTCAGGAGAAGTGAAAGTTCCAAGTGACCTGATTTTGGCAGTAGGAAGGACCAGGTGGAGAATAATGTAGAGATCTCTGTGTGAGGCATACAAAAAAAGGACGGGGGCGGGGCAGAACAGTTGAGTTCAACACTCTGGATTTAGTTTTAAGCCAGGAGGAAGAAATTGGGGGAAGTAGAAGCCAAGGAGACAGAAGTTGAGGAGAGCCACTAGCTAGAGGCAGACACGCCTGTGCCTCTGGGCTGTGCACACTCTCCAAACTGATTTTATACTGGCTGTAACACAGTAAGATTTCCAGTTCAAGCAGTAATGCTTGAAACCAATTTAGCATTAACAACGTTTTGAGTTTGGAAATCATTGTCAGAAACAAACACAGCAATGACAGCTGAGGAGCTTCAGGGCTTGTGTAGGAAGTGATTTCACAGCAGAGTAAGAGTTTGAGTGTTATTCAGGGGAGAAATCCACAGACAACTGGCTTATTTTGCTTCTACAACTGTATGTGTATGTGGGTTTGTTCCCTCCCTCCTTGGATTTCTGAGATGCATAAGGAGACTTCATTGCTGTTACCCTTGAGTAATTCATCAATGTACAACAGCTTTCTATCTTGTCTCATCCTAATTACCCCAGATGTTTCCCTGAAAAACTTCAGGATGTTTGTTTTGAGGTAGGAACTTGTTATAACCTGGGCTTGCCTGGAACTTTTCATCCCTCCTGGGCATCCCAGTGTTGACTACCAGCATGCACTACCATGCCAAGCATGATGGGTCTTTCTAAATCATAGTTTATCTTCTTCCTAAAATCCTCCCAAGGCCTTCAAGCGCAATGTAACTTTAAATATAGTCTTCTTCCCTGATCCTCTACGACACTAGGCTCTGGCCATGCCAGCTTTGTATCTCATGGAGGTGCTGGACCTATCTTGTCAGAGACCTGTCCTTGACCACACTACAAACAGAAACTGCCAAGACCCAATACAAGCATTGTCATGTTTGCCTTATTTGTGTAGCTCCCTGCTGTCTTGTTTCCTTCTTTATTGCCTTTTCCCTCCCTAGAATACCCACTCCTTTATCCATAATACCTTAAACACCATGGGCAGGGATACAAGCATTCTGATTTTGTTCAAGAATTCATAGGAAAAAGTTAGATCGAGGCCTGGCACCTGACAAGAGCAACACACAATGATCTTCCTTAATGCTTGGCTTTGCTGAGACACAGGATCTTACCATGAGTCCCACATAGGCTCACTCTGCTCCCCTGCCTCAGCCTGCCAAGTCCAAGCATTATAGATGTGGGCAATTTTTAGGCACTTAAAAATTTAGATACATTAAAGAACCTGTCATACCCATTTTCTTGCAAGCAACACAGTTTTATCATTCCTTTTATGGGTGAATAACACCCGTGTGTGTGTGTCATTTTCCTTGTCCACTCATTTTCTGGTGAGTACCTAGGCTGAGTCTGTAACCTAGCTGCTGGGAGTACTGGAGCAGTAAGCACAGGCATGCTGGTGTCTTTAGAGAGAGCTGACTTGATTATTTTAGGTATAAACCGAGAAGTAGTATAGTTGGATTGTAGAGAGGTTTTATTTTTAATTTTAAGGAACCTCCATGTGATGGTTTTCATTAATTGAATATTTTTATCCTATCAGAATTCTACTGAGAAGGAATAATATAGTTTTTTTTTTTTTGAGGGGGGATTAGCTTTGACTTTAAAAATATGGTACACATTATCATTCCTTCCTCTTCTTGGGGGCAAAAAAATCAACACAATCTCACATCTTGCTAGGTCTAGTGACAGCCCTGTCACCTCACCTGCTGGGGTAAAAAGGGGCTCACTCACCATCCTGACACACTGGAATTGCCAAGTAATTTTGGTGAGCAAATGTGTTATTTCTCACTTATCTGAATAGCTAGTGAGTATCTGATAGGTTTTAAAAAACTATTAATTTCATGTGTTTTGACCCTTTCTTCTCATTAGAGAGTACTGAGTTTTTAACCAGAGTGGGGCAAAATGCTTTTATTAAAATAACCTAACACACATAGCCATGTTTGGAAGCAAAATCAAGTTCGATTTGTTTTATTTTCGTTTTTTAGGAAATACTAAACCAAAACAACAAAGAAAACAGATATCCTTATACTTAGTGGAAATAAAAATACCTTTCCCAGAAAGAACAATTTAAAACAAATGCTATTACCCATATTTATTGCCAAGATGGCTGTCAGTGAATGGATGGATGAAGACAATATGGTACACATTCACAATGGGGTAGCGTTTAGCCATAAAGAATGAAAATTCTGTTGTTTTAAAATGAAAATATGTACTAGGTCATTTTAATAAAATGGGTGGATTTGGAGAATGTCAGGATAAATGAACTAATATAAATACATAAAGACAAGTACTACATATTCTCTGTCACATATGAAAATACCGACACACAAAGGATAGGAAACACAGAAGACCTAAAAAATTTAAGAGATTGAGAAGGAGGTGTAAGAGAAGGAATTGGGTAAAAAGGATAGATAGGCATGATTAGTCCATGGATATGCATATATGGCAATATCAGCAATCATTGTGTAAATAATTATAATAAAAAGCAATGCCATGTTTATAATAGGTGTATTTAAACATTAAAAGGTTTAACTATTAGAATCAACAATCATTAGTGAGATTAAAAAAAAAACAAAAAACAAAACAAAAAACAAAACAAAAAACACTCGAAAAGCAATACACATCTGGACAGTCTTACCAAACCACCGCCGATAACAGCCACTCTTTTCCCTTGAGTGTCAGATGAGGCCATAGCTGTCCAAACACCTCTGCTCAGGTTGGAACTCTCTGTCCTACATGCTGGTGTTTTGCGATCTTTTTTATTGCCAGAAGCCCAGAGCCTTAGGGAGCCAGCAGCAAGGTTTGGTCAAAGCTCACTTCCTTTGATAGCGTTTAACTCACTAGCGGCCCAAAGTTCAATCAGCTCTGCTCTCCGAGACAATTCATTGAGATAACCAAAATTTGAAAAACCCAGCCATGCTTTTAAATTTTATTTTTAAATAGCAGTCTTGGGGCTTTCCTTCTTCTTTTTCTTAGGCATCTGTTAGTTTCATTTTCATTCAAAATATGGTTATGAATGAAACTTGTATTGTCTGAGGTTCGGAAGCATCTTCCACTTCTCAGAGAGTGAGATGACCTGGATTCACAATTTATTCCTGCTGCTAAGACAAACCAAGAACCTGGCCTTGAAAGGTCCTCGTGGGCTGGTTGTCTTCAACCTGTCCCTGCTGGGAAACATTCTTTTGCTAACTTAATAGTTGCCTATTTGTAGATGTGTAACCAGCAGGCCACATCTTCTCTTTGTTGTTGTTGTTGTTTTAGCACTGGACTTTAGACTCTAGCTTGTGCCTTGCCTTGGGCAAGACTGTAAACACACTGCAGCTCTAGACTTGCATCTCAATTCAGGGCATCTCATCACTCTTGGACTTTGGAGATGTTTATACGTGGTTTGGGGGGGTGAGTATTTGTGAGTTGTGCTTCTTTTCTGGGACTTATTATGGTGTAAAATAAAGTGAAAGCATAAATGAGGTTTGATTTCTCTTCAAGTTTTGGTCAGATGGCAAAGAATTCACATGGTGGCGACTGGAAGGAAATCCCCTCTGGTGAGTATGATATACATGCTAGTAAACCTCTGAGTATTTATAGTAGCTAATCTATCACATGGCACGAAGTTAAAGACACAGCAAAGGCACACAGGGAAGGGCAATTCTAGGAATTCTGTCTCCTTGGGAGCCCTGTTCTTTTGTTCAGAGACAAGCATCTAGCAGAGGTTTTGCTGTGTGTGTGGATTACCCTGTTCCTCTCCAAGCCTGGTGTCTTTCCCTCCCCTTCCCTCTTTTCTTCTTTCCATACTTTCTCACCTGACCCCACTTTCCCCCTCTTTCCATCCCATTTACTTTCTTACAATTAACAACTTGTAACTCAAGAGTTCTTTAGTATCAATACAGGGAAAAAAACAAACAAACAAACAAAAAAAAAAACAAAAAACAAAAACAAAAAAAAAAAAAAAACAAAAAAGCAAACTGTCTTTAGAGGAGCTTTTTAAAAGTTTACCCAAAGAGGTAAAGTACTTAAGTATGGAATTATGGAATTCCAGAAGGAACATATTGCTAGCTTCCCAGAAGTTTGCCAGCCCAGGCCCCTCAATCCCTTACAGAGTGGCCATCATGACAACATCATCTTCTTCTTGTTTTTGGTTGTATGATATGTACCATCATACATGCACCTAGAAATAGTCTAATTTTGTATCTTTTTAAACTTTACAAAAGTGTGTGTGTGTGTGTGTGTGTGTGTGTGTGTGTGTGTGTATACATGTGCCGAAGTTTCATCCCTGGGAATTGAATCCAGGGCCTCATGCATGCTAAACACTCTAGCTACAACTGAATATATTCTCAGCCCTGTTTTGTTGCATAGCTTACTTCTTTTTCTCAGTGGTATGCTTCTTAAGATCCATCTGAGTTTGGTCACACAGCTGTGGTTTGTTACTTTTCAATGTCATATTATTACTTTCCCTGTGTTGCCATGTTCTGAAATTGTGAGTAATTTTGGATTCTTGGTACAGAACTTACTATGTTCTTCTTGGGAAGATTATGTGTTCTGTCTTTGCCCCTGGAGGTCCAACATTTCATTAAAATACTTTGCTCTGGCTCATTCAGATTTCCTTGGTCAATGAAATGTTCTCTTAAAAATGTAGTTGTATTTTTAAATTATGTGTATATGTGAGGGGCATGAGTCTCTTTCCTCACTGCTAGATTGGAACCCTGGACCTTGTGTGTGTGCTTTACCCCTAAACTATTATCCTAGCCTCAGAATGATTTGAGCAGACGTGAAACTTTTTGTCAATTCTGCCAACTGCGAATTGAGATTTAGAGCAGAAGAGAAAACCGTTAGGTTTGCACTTGCCTCTTAAAGCAGGGCAGAGGTCATAACCCATAAAGAACAGAGTGCAAATAAATCAGAAACACAAACAAATCACTAAGTGTCAACAAGAACAAAGCAGGTCCCTATCATCAGACAAGTACCAGTTTAAAAAATATAATTCTAAGCAATGCAAAAACATGTTTTTACATAGATATAAGGTTGTACCCTAAAATAAAGAGGTACAGTGCCAACTACTAATGAAAAGATTTTAAATGCATCTTAATTATTGACAATAATGAACTAAGCCACGCTTTCCCACATTTCAGTCACTTGTATTCTGCCTTCCCTACATGCTTCACCTTTTGTTCTTAACTATTTATGTCCCTATACATTTTACTTAACTAAAATGGTACTTTATATTGCTACTACAAGTAGAAAATTACTTTCATTAATAAACAGAAATTAAAAGTTAATAGTTGGGAGTTCTTGGATATCAATGTTCTCTTTGTAAAAAAGGACCATAGTGGGTACTATCTTAAAACTTACCTTTAGTATTTAATGAATTAATACATTTTAAATGACATATACATCTGTAATCCCAGCCCTGAATCATCAAGGCAGCAAGAATGCAAATTCAGGGCCAGCCTGGGAACAAAATAAAAACCATAAAAGGAAAAAAGAAAAATCTCTTGAATATTCTATGTGTCATAAGTGGTTGTTAAAAGAGTAAATATCCCACTCAGTCAAAGCCCATCATGGGAGATTTAAAAAAAGTTAAAGAGGGCAGTAGGAACTCGAGGTAGGCTTGAAACAGAAATGAAGCAAGCAAACACACTACTTTGAAAAAGAACTTAAGGGCTAGAGAGATGGCTCAGAGGTTAAGAGCACTGGCTGTTCTTCCAGAGGTGCTGAGTTAAATTCCTAGCAACCACATGGTGGCTCAGAACCATCTATAATGAATATCTGGTGCTCTATTCTGGCATGCAGACATACATGCAGACTGAATGTTGTATTCATAATAAATAATAAATCTTTAAAAAAAATAAAAGAACTTAAAATAACAAACAGTGACACAAATAGACATCCTTGGGTCCTGGAGATAGCTTAGCAGGTAAATGCCCTTGCCACTAGGCCTAAAGACCTGAGTTCATTCTCTGCATTCACATAATGGAAGGAGAGAACAAATTCCCACAAATTGTCCTATATGTGTGTGCTGCGGCACCAAAACCCAAACCAAACTCTCAATAAAACGGTAAATAAAAATTTAAATTCATGAGTAGAATACTATTAAGTTAAAAAGATCAAGGCTACATTCCCAACACAAGATTCCGAGTCAGAAATAGGCTTTAAAATGGCTTTTGTTTTTGGACAAGACTTTCATTATGTAGCTCTGGCTGTCCTGGAAGTGACTGTGTAGACCACACTAGCATTTAACCCACAGAAATCCATAAGCTTGCACCTTCCTAATGTGGGGTTTGATGGGAGCACCATCATGCCAGGCCTGGAATGAAGCTATAAAACCATTATTTGGGTATTAGTGACTGAAGCAACATAGACGGATGAACTGGAAGGACACATGTTAAAAGACAGGAAAATCGACAGACTCCAAAATGACTATTAAAAGTAACCTTAAGTGGTGGGACAATGAATAACTAGGTCCTTGTCTAAAGCTCACCATACTTCCTAAAACTTCTAGGAAGGCAGGATTTGAAAGAAACGGATTCATACCATGGATGGTTGCACGATAAATAACAACTTGATGACACGTTCTTTCTAAGCTATTTCGTGGACCTAGCACAGCAGGCGGCACCATCTGGTAACCCCTACTCCTAGCATCCACAGTTAAAGCCTTGCTGAAAGACAGGCCCGCCCGCCTCACCTCTCTTCCCATAATTCCTTCCTCACTAGTTTCCCAGAAACCTGAGGACTTCACCCAGCCACACGACAAGCCTAGGGAAGTCAACCCGCCCCCTCAGTTATTATTGGCCAGCCACTTTTAGTCCCGCCCCAGTAGCTCAGGCTAAGACATTTGATTAGGCATAAGAATGGTCGGGTGCTGACGTATAGGGGGCGTGGCTTAGGCTTAGCTTTCCACTCACGTACCGCTGCACCATGTACCGCACACTCCGACTCCTTTCTCGCTCGCTTCGCCTCCTGCGGGCCCCGTCGTCCGGTGCTGCAGTCTCAGGGGAAGCAGGCGCCCTGCCGCAGTGTGCCCCGAACGTCGCTCGAATGGTGAGCGAGCATCTCGGGCTGGGCCTCCCCAGGGTGACCTTCATGTCAGCGTGTCCCGGGTGTCCCCGCGGACCGGGCCTGGGCTCAGCGCCCGCACGCTTCCTTACCCTCCGCCCTGGGCGCCGCCTCCAGCCGGATGTGCTGGGGCTGCGGGACGCTGAGGGACGTGCTCCTGTTGGGCAAGATGGGCGTCACGCCTGAGCTTGCAGAGGCCCTCGGCCTTGGACACACAGTGCGTTCATGGGGAGGATGCCGGGTTGCAGGGGAAGAAGGGACGGATTAGGATGCAAGAGTTGCCAGGGTGGATTAGGATACATGGATGCAGGAAGTGCGGGGATGGAGGAGGATACGGGAAAGGGGGCAGCCCTTTCCTTACCCAGGTAGCAGGCCAGCCAGACACAGACAGAGTGCTCCCTAGGCTAGGAACCCCTCAACTCCGGATTATTGGTCCACCAAGCTGCACTCTCGTGCTTTCAGACCCACAAAGTAGGTGAAGCGGTGTGTCTTGAATGGAAAGCCATTCTTCTTACTAATTTGACTATTTAGCGTGTGAGATTGCACATGCTTTCTCTTAAAAAATTTGTCAAACTCTGAAATCCATAGGTAAGGACATATCAACATAAGTCTGAAGCATGGCTGACGAGATTGGATAGGACCAAACTGCAGCCGAATCAGTATTTTGTCGGAAAGACAGCTAAGGAAGTTATAGGGCCAAAGTATGACGTGCTTCATTAAGCCCCTTTTTGTTTAGAGTGTGATAGGATTCGTTAAATGTGAATTGTGTTGTTGGGGAAAAGGCTGAGAAGCGAATGGTGAGGAAGACCATGCTG